ACTACAAAGTGAGCTCAAGGCCAGCCTGAACTGCATAGTGAGACCCTGTCTCAAAAAGACAAAAAAAAAAATTTATACAGATTAATATATATTGTTTATACAGTGCTTTAGAATTTCAGTAGAATAAGAGTGTAAATAATATTAATGTGTGAGTCTTACGTGTGCTGTCTCTAATTTGCAGTCATACTATGTAACCAGGGACATTAGCAATAGATCTAAAATAAGGAACAGATAGGATGCTAAGACTGCTGCTTTAGTATTCTGTATACAGTATTTGTTAGCCATCATTTATGAATGATTTGTTAGGGCTTATTGTATTTTCCATATAGTTGTGCTAGATACAGTGCCTTATAATAGAAGTTTCCTAGATTTTTAAAGTACTGAGTAGTGAATACATTAAAATATCATACAACACAGGTGAAATTAAGGTGAAAGTATCATACAACACAGGTGAAATAATCAAATATTGAATATTAGAACAAGTACAGGAGAAAGTGTAAACTCTGTTTCTCTTAGACTTTTATGGAGGGTTTTAGGGAAAAGGGTACTGAGGACTGAACCCAGGATCACACTACCACTGAGATATATCTCCAACCCTTTTTATTTTGACACAAGGTCTTGCTAAATTGGTGAAGTGAAATTGTGATCCTCCTCCCTCAGCCTCCCAGGTGTCATTACAGGCCAGTTCTCCTGTGTCTGACTTCTGCTAGACTTGTTCCCTTTAGGTGCCTAGCACACAGTAGGTATTTAATAAAGATCTTTCAAATGCATTGAATACATTCTTTGGATATTATTTGTTGAGTACTTAATAGATAATCAGGTTATGCTTTCATTATTCATGCATTTTAGTGAGCTAAGACAAATTTAAATAACTAGGTAATGGTATGTGGTACATGGAAAACAGAATAGGACAAGGTGATAGTGCTTGACTGGGTTGCTACTTTTAAGTTGACTAGTCACAGAAGGCCTTTTTTAATAAGGTGACATTTAAGCTGGCTTCTGAATAATGAGTACTCAGAGATGAGATGTGTTTTCTGTAGGGATCTAGTAAGGCAAAAACTTTATAAGAATTTGTTCTGGGACTCAAACAAAAAAAAAAAAAGCACTTCTGTTACTGAGGTGAATGGGGAGGAGATTAAAAACAAGTGACCAAACCATGTAAGGTATTGTGGACTAGGGTTTTTCAAGGTAAAAATGGGAAGCCTTTGTAAGCAAGGGAGAACTATTTCATTTGTGATTTTGTTTTTTTAAGGTTACTTCGATAGTGTGTGAAGAATGGATAGTAAGGTGGGCAAAAAAGGAATGCAAGACCAGTTCGTTATGAGGCTTGTGCAGTAGTTTTAAGCAATTGCGACTTGGACCAGGGTGGTGAGTGTGGAGGTGGAATTAGAGATTTATTTTAAGAGATAGGATTTTTTTTTTGATAGAGTGAGAGAAATTGAGTCAAATATTGCACCTGGAGTTTGCATATGTAAATTTTGTGGAATATTTGGGTCCTTTGAGATGTGGAAAGTTAAGAGTGGAGCAATGTTAGGGCTTGAGGTGGGAGTTCAAGATTTGAGTTTAAGATGTGTAGTAAACATTCACGTGAAGGTGATACGCGTTATGGATCTGGATTACAGAGAGAATTTAGGGGTGCAGACAGTGACATCAGAATAGCTGTATTACTGATTTTATTTTTTCAATTAATTAATTTTTTTTTGTCTTTTTGAGACAAGGTCTTGCTATGCAGTTCAGGCTGGCCTTGAGCTCACTTTGTAGCCCAGGCTGGTCTTCACAGTGATCCTTCTGCCTCAGCCTCCCAAGTGCTGGGATTACAGGTGTGCTCCACCATGCCCAGGAAGTATTGATGATTTTAATTCATGGGACTAGATGAGATCTCCAGCAGTTTTTTCAGTTCCTAATCCCAGAATTATAGTATATTCTGATAAAATTTTAATACCGATGCAGGGACAGGAAGGTACAATGAAACTTTTTCTTTCTACTTTTCCCTTAAGTTAAATAATTTGGTTTTGCTGAAGTAAATAAGGTAAAAAAGTGAAAAGCATGCCTCTGGTTAAATAACCACGGTAGACTTTATCCTTCAAGTCCTTTTTAAAAATACATATCTACACACAATACATAAACACAACTACAGTATTTTTTTTAAAGTAGTAATTGTTTAACCACTGGCTTCCCTTATGTATTTCATGCATCCATTAATACTGCATAGCATTCAAGTGAATATTTGTGCAGTAATTACCAGTTCACTTTGATGGATGTTTAGATTTGTTTCAAATTTTAGTATTAAGAACAGTGGCATAGTGCACGCTAAGTGTGGAATTTATGGATCAAAGACAGATTGCCTTAAAAATGCCTGAG